GTTGAATGTTTTCAAAAAGTCTAAAGAAGCAACATGCACTGGAAAAGACCTTCTGCATGTACATTCAGAGTAAAATAAAATAAAATAATGTTACAACTGGGCTATAATTACTCACTTTAGCCTAGTAATCTACAACTTAACTATAATTATAACTTCCGACCCACTGTATTGGGTACGGAACAGTAGTGAAATTGGGGTTGACCCACCGGGGGCTAGTTTTGTGTGGGACGTGCCAGTTTGCACAGGTGATTATTCACAAGTAAAAAATGACAATAATTGTCCAATAACAATAACAAGGGAGCTTTGTCTGTGAGAGCCCAGATGGTTTACTTTACCTGTGACCAATAAATGTCAGATTTGTACTCTTGATCTGTTCTCTGGTTTATTCTCAGGCCTTCAGCTAAAGAGTCGAACTAACAATTAATTTTATTTCTATATTATTATATGTAATTGTAATCATTGTTATTGTGCTAACATAACATACATAACATCCATCCATTTTCTAGAACCAGTGTTTCCAGGTGAGGGTTCTGGACAGGTAAACAGCTAAAAAGAGACCCAGTCGGGAGGTAGAGAAAAGGAGATAGCTTTACTATAAAGAAGGCGTCGCTAGCAGAAGTTGCAACATCTCATACACGCATACATGGTGAGTATACATTTTTTCAAGTAGATGTACCTTACAAAAGCCGTTACTTTGCATGTGGAGCCGTGACTTCCACAAGCTGCTCCGATGCACATGGACACAACAGAAAAAGACGGAGAGATGACATTTTAAAAAAAAAAAAAAAAAAAAAGGCCTAAGGTCATGTGATCAGTCGTTTACAAAAATCCAGGTGCGAATGTGCACGAGTAAAACTCCAGACTCTTCGATGCTTTCAAAGGTAGGAAAACACAACCAGATCTTTTTATTTTTATTCATGAGAGGTGAGCTGAGACGATGAAGAAAGAAGGGAGACGCTTTCCTCTGTGTGCTTTCGTGCATTTGGGGGGGGGGGGGGGGGTACCTCCTTTAAACTCCACACACTAAAATGCTGAAGTAGTAGTTTTTTCTTTTTAACGTGACCCCTGTCAGAGGGAGCAAAGCTAGCAAAAACGTCTGCTAGCGACTGTTTTGAACAGCTTTTAAACTTAGCATGATGCTATTTGGGGTTAGCTTCCTCCATCTTGGTCTCAAACCGGAGTCTCAGGGCTGAAACTGGGACTATTTCCCTTCACCGGGTTGTAAATGGAGGAGCCGCTGGTAGAAAAATCCCTAAAGCAAAGCAATGACACCTCCTGTGAGCTCCAATCCAATAATTAGCGTGTTTGCTAACTACGTGAAAGCAACATTTAGCATTGATGGGACTCAGAGAGTGGAGGTGGAAATGTGGAAATGTGGATATGTGGAAATGTGGAGAGGTAACGCATAGAAAAAATGTCTGATTGTTGATAGAGATACTATCACGACACTTGCAGTAATCTCAGAAAAACGCAGATTTCTCAAGTTGCCAAAGAGAACCTGAAGGCAACGCGGAGTGTGTGACTATTGCAAAAAAGAAGGAGGTGAAGCGGGAACTTATTCAAGGCTTCTGCCGGGGTTCCTCCTGGTGCTTTCAACCTCACAGAGAAGCTAACGTCTTTCACCAGTTAGACCCCAGACTGTCCTAAAACAGGAAACAACAGACCTGTTCCACATAAATACAGTTTAGGGGGGTGGGGGGGGGGGGGGGTTCCATGTGTGCAAATGTTAGTCAAAGCTACATTACAAAGATGCATATCAGGCTAAAGGTCGCCATTGCTTAGTGAATCTGGACATTTGTTTTTTTGTTTTTTTTTAAGATAAAGAACTTTTTTCCGGGGGATGAAATCAAGTTTGGAAATATTTACAAAGATATGAGATTTCCTCTCGGGACATACATGTACAGAGCAAATGCAAAATAAATCAGACTTCTCTGTGTGGTGGAGCCATTACGTATCACATGAGTTTGAATAAGAATACAGAGTCAGTTTTACATGATGAATACAATAAAAGCAGCACAATAGACAGAAAACGGGACTTTTTCATTTCCGGGAACAAAGATAGTGGCTATGCTTAAAAAATACCCCACACACATTTTTGTGTCTGGAGCTTCCCGTTATGAACAAAATCTGATCATTTTTGGCTACTTCTAATATGCAACAACAAAATAAGTACGTTTCAAATGTGTGTAAAATAGTTTTTAAATGAGCAAATAATAAATTTGGAGTATACACATAATAAATAGAAATGTAAAATAAATGTTTGCGATATGAAGCTAAGCTAGGTATCGTTTCGGTTTTGCATTGGACAGTTTAATAGTGCTGTAATTAACATGTTAATTAATTAACACGTCATGTGACGGATCAGGAAAGCATCCACAGAAATGAAAATAAAAAGTTAATGTTCATAAGATGGTGACAGAATGTGGCCAATCAGCTCAAAGGACCGTAAATGATTAAAAGTCTTTCTGAACCATCGTCCGACAAAACGATGAAGCTGTGACGTGTTTGTTTTTTTTAAAGTGTGGCTATGAATTTAAGTTAGAATATTCTCATGCTGTTAATTCAAGTTAAGTATGCAATAACGTCTTTTCTGACACTTCAGTTCCTAAAACCTGTGGAAAGGAAATAAAGAGGTGTAGATTTTTGTAGGTTAGAGGACAGAAGGAGTTTAATTGTGCCTATAAAAACTTTAGTGCTGTGGGATTTAAGGTTTCCCTCTCTGGGAAACATCAGGAATCTCTGGAGAATAACACAGATGCTCAAATCTACTGTATAACTCTAATATTTTATCTCCTGTTCATCACAGGAGTTTAAACTCTGGGTTTTTAGTTTGAACACGCTCTGGGAAGAAAGCTGCTTTTATAGAGAAGAAGGTAAAAATAAAATGATGCTTCCTCACTTTTATTATCTGAGCTCTGACTTTTAGGATTGGACCAGAAACCCTCTGAAACTCTGGCTTCATAATTAAAAAGTATATTCTTTCTTTGTGTCAAAATGGGTCAAAGTGGAACTAAACATTTGGTGGTTCTGATATTTCTGTGTGTGATAACCAACAAAGCTAAACTAAACAGTTTTTTTTTTTAAATGCAAAATGAAGCCGAGTTTTTTAAATGTCCGTGTTTCCAATTGGTCATGAATGCAGCATTAGCTTTCTTTCTCATAGGGGAAATAACTCGGTTTATCATATGGGGGCTTCTTGCAAAACTAACCTTTCTCTCTAGGATTGTTTCAAGTCTCCAAGTTCACTGGTCATGCAACGATTTCTCTCTTTTTAAACTCCTAAAAATGTCATCAGCAGCAGCCTACCGAACAGCCGGGAACAGGAAGTGAGGTTTTTTTTGCACCTTTACTGTTGAAAATCGGATGGAGGCATGTGGGATATGTGAAGAAAAACATTAGCCGGGGCTTAAATCAAAGCCTGATCGCGTACTTCTGACAGAGAGATTTAATCCGTTACGCATGTCGGGATGCATAGTTTTCCAGGAACCAAAAACCAGGAAGAGACAGAAGAGTCTGGAGACTCTTCTAAAAGCTCCAAAAACCAGGAAGAGCCAGAAGAGTC